GGGCAGTCACAGGGCTTCCCTTAGTGGTGGGTCCGTTGGTGTCTGGTCAAGGCAGAGCTCTTGAGGAAGCTCTTCCCACACTCCCCACACTTGTAGGGCCTCTCCCCGCTGTGGATGCGCCGGTGCCTGACGAGGTGGGAGTTCCGGTTGAAGCCCTTCCCGCAGTCGGTGCAGCAGAAGGGCCTCTCATCCGTGTGTGTCCGCTGGTGCTTTAGGAGATCTGAGCTGGTGTGAAACCTCTTCCCACATTCCAAGCACTTGTAGGGTCGTTCCCCAGTGTGGATGCGCCAGTGGGTGATGAGGGTGGAGTTCCGGTTGAAGCCCTTCCCGCAGTCGGTGCAGCTGAAAGGCCTCTCATCCGTGTGCGTCCGCTGGTGCTGGACGAGACTGGAGCTGGTCTGAAACCTCTTCCCACATTCCCCACACGTGTAGGGCCGTTCTCCAGTGTGGACGCGCTGGTGTTTGCGGAGGCTGGAGCTGTCACTGAAGCCCTTCCCGCATTCCCCACATGTGTAGGGCCATTCCCCAGTGTGGATGTGCTGGTGTCGGATCATGGTGGAGCTCTCCCTGAAACTCTTCCCACATTCTCCACACGTGTAGGGCCGTTCCCCAGTGTGGATGTGCTGGTGGGTGAGCAGGTGGGTTCTCAGCCTGAAGCTCTTCCCACATTCCAAGCACCTGAACGGCTTCTCCCAGCTGGGAGGCTGATCAGGGTCCACCAGCTCAGAGCTCCCCCTCAAACTCTGGCCGCCTTCCCGGCACAGGCTGGTTCTTTCCTCCTCAGAGCACCCTGGGATGGCTTTGGAGCCCCTCCTGCGGGGGGATCTCCGGCCCTTTTCCTCCCCGCTGCCTTCCTGCGCCGGGGAGCCCTTCAAAACGGCCTCTCCCACCAGGGTCTCACGGGGGGATTTGTCCTCCGGGCTCTCCGTCCTCAGCTCGGGGCCTGGGGCAGGAAGCAAGAAGGACAGGGAGGGGATTTGCCTCTGGCCCACAGGGAAGGCCAAGGACATCCCCCCAACTCCGGCCCCGGCAGGACGGCGGCGGCAGCGGGGTTGTCCTGCAGCCGGGGCCATGCTCGGCTGACAGAGCCAGCACAACACCCGCCCAAAGGGCCACTGACTTCCTCCTCACCTGCCTGGGGGGCCCAAGGCATCTTCCTCTTCCTCGCAGCCTCCTCCTCCATCCGCCCAAGCTTTGGGAAGGACAAATCCTGATGGGGGGAAAACAAGGGCTGAGTGCGTTGGCTTGGGGGTTCCTCCTGCCCAAGTCCATCTCTAGAACTCACTGAGCATCCTGTGACCATAAAAACCTCCAAAACAGCAAGACTCAGCCCAGAAAACCCCAAATCATCGAGATTCAGGCAAAAGTCTATAAGAAATAGTGAGAAGACTCCTGCCCCCCCAAACTGAAAGAAGTTGAGATTCAGCTAAAAAATACTCTAAAATATGAAGATTAGCCCAAAAAAATTCTCCTAAGAGTTCCCCTTCTCTGGTTTCCCCACTCTAGGGTTCAGAGAGTCTCCTGTCTGGGATGCTGGGGGTCCAACTTAGGGATGCTGGGAGTGTTGGGGGTCCCAAGGGTCCCTTCTCCTCTGATTCTCGCCTTTGGGGTGCTGCATTCCCAGAAATTCCCCCTCTCCAGGTTTTCCACTTTGTTGTCCTGGGGATCCCAGGGGTCCCCACTGTCCAGGTTTCCCCTTCTCCGTGCCCCCCCTCTCACGGCTCTCAGGGCTCTCGCAGCTCCCCCCTCTCTCCAGGAATCAAGGCATGGGGACACCGAGGCACCCCCACGGCAACCCCGCTCCCGCTCTCCCCCCTCCTCTTACCCCCCTCTCCCACCCCTTTCCCATCAGCCCCCAAAACCCCGGCTCCCCCCAGTTCCCTTTGGGGGTGACCCACCACCACTCATGCTCCCTTTGGGGGTCTCACCCGCTATTTTCACTTCTCTCTGTACAAAATTCCTTCCCAATATCCAACCTAAACCTCCCCTGGCACAGCTCAAGACCCAGCCCTCTTGTCCTACTGCTGCTTCCTGGCAGAACAGCCCCACCCCCACCTGGCTCCAACCTCCTGGCAGGGACTTGCAGAGAGTCAGGAGGTCTCCCCTGAGCCTCCTCTTCTCCAGCCTCAACACCCCCAGCTCCCTCAGCCTCTCCTTACCCCACTTGTGCTCCACTCCCTTTTCCAGCCTTGTTGCTTTTCTCTGCACCTGCTCCAGGCCACCAGCCATTGGCCCTCTTGGCCACCTGGCCACACTCCGCCTCCTCTTCAGCTTCCTGTCCATCCACACTCCCAGCTCCCTTTCTGCCTGCCTGCTCTCCAGACACTCTGGCCCCAGCCCGGGGGGCTGACGGGGCTTCTTGTGGCCAAAGGGCAGGACCCGGCCCTTGGGCTGCTGGAACCTCATCCCCCTGGAATCAGCCCATGGATCCAGCTTGGCCAGGTCCCTCTGCAGAGCCCTCCTGCCTTCAGCACATCAACACACCCCCAGCTTGGTGTCAGCTGCACATTTGCTGATGAAATGCCTGGTTCTGCAGCAGCTGCAGATGCTCAAGGGGCAGCAGGACCAAGTCAGGGGCCTGGGGGGGCTCTAGAGGGGCTTTGGGGTGTGGGAGGGTCCTGGGGGAGCTGGGGAGGGGCTTTGGGGACTGGGGGTACAGACCAGGACAGAGCAGTACAGACCAGTACCTCCTCACTGCTCCCCAGATCTATTCTGGAGCTGGGCCACGTTGTCCTGGGACACCTGAGCCCCCCCAGTGCCCTCCCAGTACAGCCCAGTGCCCCCAGTACAGCCCACTGTGCTCCTGTCCCAGGGTGCTGGGTGATCCCTCTTTGGGGGGGTTGGAAGGGATTTGAGGGAGGACTGGAGGAGATTTGGGGGGGAGGTTGGATAGTAATTTGGGGGGTTTTGGTGTCTTTGGGTGCATTTAGAGGAGTTAAAAGGGGTCTTGGGAGGTCAAAGGGATCTGTAGGGGGAGGGGATTAAAAGGAAAATGGGGGTTGGGAGACATTTCAGGGGGGTTATTGATTTCTAGGGCATCTGGGGACACACTGGGGACAGTCAGGGGGCTTTGGGGGGCACTGGGTGTTTACTGGGGGATACTGGGACACACTGGGGGGAACCAGGGGGCACTGGGGGGGACTTGGGGGTTACTGAGGGACACTGGGAGGGACTGGGGGCGAACTGGGGCATACTGGGGGGCACTGGTAGAGAACTGGGGAGTTACTGGGGGATACCAGGACACACGGGGGGGACACTGGGAGGTTACTGGGCCAAACTGGGGGCAACTGGGTACTCACTGGGATACACTGGGTGGTCACTGGGCCATCCTGAGGGTCATTGGGAGCTTATTGAGATATACTGGGGGCACTGGGATGCCCTTACACGGATGTAGTATATCTTCCCCCTTTGATTTTGGGGAGCATCCCTAGGACCCCTCCCCTGGGGGCTGAGGGACCCCTTGAACCCACTGCTGGGCTTTAGGGGACTCCACAAAATCCCCTCAAAACCCCTGAAATCCCCTCAGAAATCCACCCCAGGACCCATCAAAACCTCCTCAAGGACCCCCCAACTCCCCTAAGAGACCTCATCCCCCCACCCCGGGCCCCCTAAACCCTCTCAGTGACCCGCAAAACACACCTGGCACCCCCCAAGCCCATTAAGGGATCCCCCCAGTCCCTCTAAGGGAGCCTCAAAGCCGTCTGGAACCACCTAGAGACCACAAAAACTGCTGCAAACGTCCCCGCAAAACCCACCCAGGACCCCCAAACCCCCTCAGAGATCTCCCCAGCCCACCTGTGACCCTCCAATCTCCTCAGAAACCAAAACTCCCTCAGGGACTCCCAAATCCCTTCAGGGAACTTCAGCCTCCCCCCCCCCCCCCC